CCGAAAATAAAAGACCTCGGCTGGAGGAAGTCCCAGCCGAGGAAATCAAAGAGAAGACTCCCCCTCCCCCTGAGCATCAGGAGGAGGAAGTACAATAAAGGACTCCCCCAGTCCTAACAAGGTCTCCTCGGCATGAAGCCGAGGGTTTTACAGAAGCAGTCCAAAGTGAAGCTGATGCATTTATTCAGCAACAATCTGAGGACGACGATCTGCAGTGTCTGTCGGGGAGACCTGACCATCTGAAGGAGGTTGATGAGAGAATTGACGGACCCAGGGCTTCTGATATGCCATCATGTGCTGGGCATTCTTTCAGAACCTTCCAATCTGGGGAGATGGGGTTCGAGACTGCCCCCCTTGTTATAGTCCCTGAAGTTGTCAGAGAGGGTCTGCAGTTCCACTGAGGTCCGGCACTTGACCTCTTTGGCGACCTCTCTAGCGTTTCTAAGCTAGAGAGAGCCGAGAGATGGTCCATCCGCGCTGCTGCGAAGGTGTCTAAGCCTATAGTGAGGGTGCCTGACCCTTTTGCTGAGAACAAGAAGTTGTTGATGCAGGTAACCCTTACATCTCTGTTTCTTCTCTTTTTCTCTCTTTTCTTCTTCTTCTTTTTTTTTTTTTTTTTGCAACTCCTTTTCCTCGGCTGACATATGTGATTATCTCTTTTGCCAGGCTGTGCACAACAATGTATTGGCGGCTGGCCTGAACGAGGAACTGAGGCATAAAGCCGAGGAAGGCGAGGCCCGAGCTTGGCTATTTGAGCTGAAGTGCAAAAGCGCAGATGACGAGTCTTCTGCCAGCATCTCTCGGGTGAGGGAGATGGAGGCTCAGTTCCTTAGCTTCTGCCAAGACTTCTTTCCTTGGATCGAGGAGGGACACGCCCTGATCGAGGAATACGGCGCCGTTGATATTCCGAGCTTCAAGGCTCGGATTGAGGAGAAGCCGAAGCAGGAGGCGGAGTCCCGAAAAGCTATGGCCGAGGAATTGGAAGCTGAGAAAGCTCATCATGAGGCTGAGACTCAGCTGCTCGTCAACCATCTAGACACCAAGGACTCAGACCTGACTGCTGTGAGGTCTATTCTGCAGGAGTTGAAGAACCAGCTGCTGCGCAGCTCGAGGAGACTGCCAAGGCCAAGGAAGAGGCTGAGAAAGCTAAGGCAGAGCTCTCAGCTGCCAATGACCTGCTCAAAGTCCGCATCTACACTCGGGCTCTGTATGAGGAGGGTTTCGACAACGGTTTTAACGTTGCTCGGCGGCTGGCCTTCCATACCTACCCAGAAATCAACTGGGATCAGGTTGAGGAATGGGCATCCGTCCCAAACCATCCGAATATACGAGTTGCCCATCCAGCTAAGGATGCGTACTTGGCTCGTCTTGAAGCTGATGTCGAGGAAGATGAATCCGAGACTTCAAAGGCTCCAACCTCAGGTCCAGCAAATGCCGAAGCATAGGGACTCGGGCAGTCGTCTGCAGAATCTTGCGGGTCAACATGCTCTTAATTGGACCAACGTCGCAACTGCATTTTTTGCCTATCTTTTGCTTCAGCTAGCCTTGCTTGTACAACTTCTTGTTTGTTTAAGTACATTTCCACCGCAGATGTGTTTTCCGCTTGTGGGCGGCTGCCGATTTTTATGACTTTTTCTATTTTTAACAGCTGTAATTCTCCACTTTTAATATTTATGAAATGCTTTCCAATTTGCTTGCCTCATTGTTTGCCTTATTATTCTTTGTACTTTAGCTGTTTTTCTGAATTTCCTTCAAAATTTTGCTAAGTATAGAATTTCGGCTTGCAAACATGCTGAGCTGAGAGTTCCCTTTGCTTGAGAGCGCACTGCTTTTGCTTCTTTTGCCTTGTTTTTACTTGAATATTTCAACTTGTGAAAATTTTTCCCAAGTACCAAACCTCGGCCAAGGATTTGCTTTTGACAATCTAGTGCTCTTCCCCCCCCCCCCTCCCAAGAAATCTGAAGATGATTTCTTCCGAATTATAGGATAACTCTTTATTTCCTCTGCGCAGCCGAGGATTAAGCCTTGATAAATTTTTTTACGACATTTCTACTCATTTCCTTCTTTCTCTTCTATTTTGTTTTCAAAAGCTCTGATTTCTTACTCAAGAGTCTTAGACTCTGAGAGCAGTACTTTTGTGACACTTTGAATTCATCCAAGGGAACGGCTATTCGAAACACGATGCCGGGGCAGTGGTCTATCCGAAGTACAAGGCATCACTATGCAATACTTCGGGGCTTTATCAGTCCCTATTTTTTAGGCTATGTTTCAGATGCGCCTATGGCCTTTTTGCCCAGAGGAACAAATTCATCCAAAGTACAAGGCATCACTATGCAATAATCCGGGCTTTTATCTTTTATCCTCATTTCGGCAGGTTTTATGGTTTGCCGAGGTACAATGCATCACTATGCAATACCTCGGACAGCGCCGAACGAAAACCTTGAATTTTTGCAAAAACCATAGAAGATAGAGAAAATAGAAATGCATCTGAATTTTAATGAATGGTGGCTCAAAGGCCTTTTTATTGATAAGAGATAATACACTTACATAGATTGTTCATCCCCGTAGGGACTTACACATGGTATCTTTTAAGTACATCAGCGTTCCAGTGGTTTTTTAGCTCAGTGCCATCCAACTGCCGAAGTCAGTATGTGCCTGGCTGAAGCTCATCATATATTTCATAGGGTCCCTCCTAAGTTGCTGAGAGTTTACCATGAATGCGGCCTTTTTGCACAGCAGCAGCGTTCCGAAGAACTAGGTCTCCAACTTTGAGAGCCTTTGATGGACTCTTCGGTTGTAAAATTTGCTGATTCTCTGCTTATATGCAGCCATTCTATCCCGAGCCGAATCTCTGATCTCGTCTAGGAAGTCAAGGGACTCTTTCAAGAGCTGCTCATTTTCCTCGGCTGAGACGAGATTTAGTCGTAGACTTTCTGAGCCAATTTCCACTGGAAGTACAGCTTTGGATCCATACACCAACTCAAAAGGTGAATGTCCCGTCGCTTCTTTTTCTGTTGTCCGAAGTGACCAGAGGGTTCCAGGAAGTTCCTCTACCCACTTGGATTTTTGGTCTTCAACTCTCTTCTTGAGAGCGTTGAGGATTTGTTTATTCGCAGCTTCGGCTTGGCCATTGCTCTGCGGATGGCAGACCGCAGAATATAATTTCCGTCGGATAATTTCCGTCGGAAACGGGGAAATTTCCGACGGAATCTCCATTCCGTCGGGCATCTCCGACGGACTTTCCCACCCCCCCCAGCCACCATTCTCCGACGCCATTATTCCGTCGGAACCATCATTTCCGTCGGAAATGACCTTTTTTCCGACGAAGGGTTTTCCGACAGGCCGTTTCCGGCGGAATTCCGTCGGAAATGACGATTTCCGAGGGATATTTTTCGTCGGAAATAGGCTTATTTATTGTTGTGTATGCCAGTTTGATGCTGAACTGGTCTGTGTACCGCTTCAGCGGCAGGTTATCGAATTGCCTCCCATGATCAAAGAGAAAAACCCTCGGAATCCCGAAACGGGTGATAATGTCCTGCTATATGAATTTCCTAACGGTTTGCTCTGTAATGTTCGAAGCAGCCTCGGCTTCGATCCATTTGCTGAAGTAGTCTATGCTGACTATCAACCACTTCTTCTGATAAGGATCCTCAGGAAATGGTCCCAATATATCCAACCCCCATTGAGCGAATGGAAGAGAATTCAGGATTGGTTGAAGATCCCGGGATGGCCGGTGGATAACTAGTGCAAATTTTTGGCATTTTTCACATTTTCTGACCAGATCTTTTGCCTCAGCGATCATGGTTAGCCAAAAGTACCAAGCCCTTAGTGCTTTGTGGGCTAAGGTTCTCCCCCCTATGTGATTTCCGCAGATGCCGAGGTGAATTTCCCGAAGGACGTAATCTGCATCTGTTGGTTCTACACATTTCAGTAATGGGGAAGAAAAGGATTTTTTCAGAATTTCGCCCCTGAAGACAAAAAATCTTGAGCTGATTCTTTTTATCTTGGAGGCTAACTTTCGGTCTTCGGGAAGCTCATCCCGAAGCTTATAAGCTAAGATGGGGTCCATCCAGCTAGGTTCACGTGCAGCACAACATATATTCATAGATTCGGCTGCTTTTTTCTCGGCGCACCTCCACATATACAGACCGGTTCAACTCGGTTAAAGTTGAACTCGCAAGCTTGGAGAGTGCGTCGGCTTTAGCGTTTTGACCCCTTGGGATCAGCTCTATTTCAAAAGTTCTCAGATTCGCAATGACAGCTTTGATCTTAGCGAGGTAAGCCACCATTGAAGGTTCCTTGGCTTCGTATTCCCCTATAATCTGATTTGCGACGAGCTAAGAGTCTGTCTTCAGACAGACATGTTCGGCTTCCAATGCTATGCACAATTCTAAGCCGGTAATTGCCGCTTCATATTCAGCTTCGTTGTTTGAAGCTTTGAATGAAAATTTTAGTGCATATTCGAAGGATTTGCCTTCGGGAGAGGCTATGACGACCCCTGCCCCCAAACCATTCACGGTGGAGGATCCATCCGTGAATACGGTCCAAATTCTCTTTCCCTCGTCAAGTGTCTCTTGATAAGAACACTCGGCTAGGAAGTCTACCAAGGCTTGCGCCTTTATAGCTGCCTCAGCTGGTAGCTGATATTGAACTCGGTGAGCTCGAAGGCCCACTTCGTTAGTCTACCGAATTTTTCCACCTTGCCGAGGACTTTCTCTAGCGGTTGATCAATTAGGACCACTATTTGATGGGAGTCGAAATAGGGTCTTAACTTTCGAGTGGCTACCACTACTGTGTATGCAACTTTTTCAAGTAGGGGGTAGCGTGTCTCGGCATCTGTCAAAGTGTGGCTGACAAAATAGATCGGCTGCTGAGTTTTTTTCATTTTTCTTTAGCAGCACCGCGCTTACTGTGGCTGGACTGACCGCCTCATATAAGTACAGCGTTTCTCCTTCGGCTGGCCTTGCCAGCGTTGGGAGTTGAGCTAAGTGCTCGCGGAGCTACTGAAAGGCTTGCTTCTGCTCGTCTCCCCAATTAAGTTCTTTTGACTTTGGGATTTTGAGCACTTTGAAGAAAGGTAGCCCTTTGTCTGAGGCTTTTGAGATAAACCTGGACAGGGTAGCCATTCTGCTAGTTAGGCGCTGAACATCCCTTCTCGTTTTCGGCTCGGGGAGGTCAAGAGCTGCTTGTACTTTGGCGGGATTAGCATCAATCCCCCTCTTGCTGACTATGAAGCTGAGGAACTTGCTTGACTTCACACCGAAGACACACTTCTTCGGATTCAGCTTCATTTGGTGTTTACGAAAGGTGGCGAAGGTCTCAGCCAAGTCCGTAACATGGTCTTCATTTTCTTTGCTTTTGACGATAGAATCGTCCACATAGACCTCCATGTTACGCCCTTTTGGCTCGGTGAACACCTGATCAACCAGCCTTTGGTATGTTGCCCCCGCATTTTTCAATCCGAAGGGCATCATCTTGTAATTGTACACCCCAGAACTTGTGATGAATGTCGTTTTGGATCGGTCATCGGGGTGCATGAAGATCTGATGGTATCCAGAAAATGCGTCCATGAAGCTGAGCAAGGCATGACCACTTGTAGAGTCTACTAACTAATCTATCCTCGGCAGGGGATAGGAGTCTTTCGGACATGCCTTATTTAGATCTGTGAAGTCAATGCACATTCTCCAGCTACCATTTGCCTTCTGAACCATAACCACGTTGGTTAGCCACTCAGGATACTGACAAGGTTTGATGAACCCAGCATCTAAGAGCTTTCTAACCTCGGCTGTGATGTCTTGGTTCTTTTGTGCGGAATAATGACGCTTCTTCTACTTAATGGGTCGACATGCCAGGTCGACATTAAGCTTGTGAGAGATGAGGTTCGGATCAATCCCGGGCATTTCTGCTGCCGAGAATGCGAACACATCTCTGTTGGCTCGGAGGAGTTGGATAAATTCAGCACGAACGTTCGGCTCAAGCCCTAGTCCAATGCTGACACATCTTTCTGAATTTCCCTCGGCCAACTCTATTGATTCAGTTTGATTATCCAGTTCCATGGCTTTGGCACTGGATTCTTCTGATTTCGGCCTGCTGTCAATATCAGCGGGCTTTCCAGACTTTGGCTGATCTTCTGAGTCTTTCTGCTCAGCTGAAGAACTAGCCTTTTCACCCCTTGAAGATTTTTCTTTGAAAGGGGTGTCTTGGGCCGAAGCACTCAAGCCTTTAGGCTTTTTCGCGCTGCGGTCCCGTTCTTTTTCTTCCTCGTCATCCTTGTCGCTGCGGCGACCTTTGGATGGTTTAAGGTGATTACACTTTCGGGCTTCCTTTTGGCTGCCCTTTATTTTCTCAAAGCATCCCTCGTCCGAAACATATATCATCGTTTGATGGTACGTCGAGACAACTCCTTGGATGCCGTGATAGAGGGGTCTCCCTACGATCACGTTATATGCAGAGGGGGTATCCATGACCAGGAATTCAACCATGATGCTCCGCACTGCTCGACCTTTGCCGATGGTGACGGGAAGAAGGATCTTCCCATCTGGATATGATGAAGAGCCGTTGAACCCGGATACCGGGTAAGGTACCGTAGTCAGGTGCTTGGCTTCCATCTTTAGCTGGTCGAATGCTCCCCGAAAGAGGATATTCGCCCCGCTACCGCCGTCGACGAGGGTTCGCCAGACGTTGCGGTTTGCGATGCCCATCACTATCACTAATGGGTCATCATGGGGATACACTACCCCCTCGCAATCTGCGGCTGTGAACAGGATGTTCGGCATCGGAGACCGAGGTAGCCAAAGCTCAGCATGATTGACTTGATGGGTTAGACCCCTCAAGTGGCGTTTGGCTGCGATTCGGGAAGTTCCTCTGGAAATAACAAGGATGTCAAGGATGTCCTTGTCTTGTTATTTGTCTTTTTTTCGGAGAAAGTCCAGATCCTGCCGAGAATCTCTCTCGGCTTTCTTTTCCTCGCGGCGGTCTGAGAGGTATTTTTTCAAGTAGCATTTCCGGACCAGATCTTCAATCTGATCCTTCAGCTGAAGGCAGTCCTCGGTGCGATGTCCAGGAGATTCATGAAACTCGCACCATCGGTCCTTGCCCTTTTTCTGATGCCATGGAGGCAGCTGTCGAGGCTTCTTGAACCTCCCTTCATCCTTAGTCGCGCTAAAGATCTTAGCGCAGGGAAGAGCAAGGGGAGTGTATGAGTTGTATATCCCTACGTAAGGGACACACTTCTCCTTCTACGGCTCGGCAGCCGAGGACGGTTCTGAGGCCTTGGCCTTCCCTTTCCTCGGTGCCGGGCCCTCGGGTAGTTGCCCTCTCGATCTCCAAGCCCCATACTAAGACTGAGATTTCGCTTTGTTCCATTCTTCGGCCCGGATGAATTTATCCGAGGCGTCCAAAGCTTCTTCCAAGGTCTGCGGGGGATGCATGACCATGAAGTCAAGGAACTTTCCAGCTTGTAGACCGTTTCGTAGTGCAAATACGGCAAGGCCCTGGTCCAGATTCGTATAGATGACTCGTTGCTGAAGCGAGTCAGATAGTCGCGGACACAACAAGAATTAGGCTTCTGACTGTCGGTGATTTCCGACGGAAAATAATTCCGTCGGAAATCCCCCCTGTTCCGACGGATTATTTCCGTCGGAAAATTTGTTTTTTTTTATTTTTTTATTTTTTGCTTCCACTTCCCCCCTGTATATTGACCTGTTCTTCGCTATTGCAATCTGTTTAAAACATAATAAAATTTCATTTGAAAATAAATCAATCAATATAAATTAATAATTATAATTATTACATTCAGTTTGGATAAATAACCTACATTGTATCTTAAATTATGTACAATACGTGAAAATAAACAAAAATCTACACAACGGGAAAAAAAGCCAGGCCTCCCCACAACCGGGGTCGTCGGACCAAGGGTCTCGCGGCTGCGGCGGCATCGTCGTGGAACATGTGAATGGAGTGTTGAGTCCGGTCATGCGACTCAACATCACGTCCATCATCTCTTTGTTCCTCCGCTCAAGTTCCGCCATCTGAGCCTACACTTGAGCCTGTACCTGGGCCTGCATTTGAGCTTGCACCCGAGCCTCGATCTCAGCCACAACAAACGACGACGGGTGGTACTGCTGAGAGGACCCTGATCCTCGGGACTGGGATTGATAGTACAACTCAGCACCTCGACCAAACCCCCCTTACTCGGCCTTTCTTGTTACGCCTGCCTACTGCATCCCAGTATAGTTCATCTTGGCTTTTGGAAGACTCGTGACTGCTTGCTTCCTCAACCATTTTATGATATGTTTCTTGCAGAAAATTGACGAGATATATTAAGAAATAATGATGTTTCAAGAGAAAAGAGGCCAAAATAAAGGGTTCTACCTTTCCTATTGTTCGCATTTCTTATCAAACTAACCTATAACTTGCACTAACATACCAATATAGCCTAGTTACAAGTGTTCATGCATTGAAAACGAACCTTTGAAGCATTTCACTAAGTTTTGGGACGATATTCGTGATTTTCAAGGGAAAAGGGGCCAAAAAGGGTTCTACCTCGCCTATTTTTCACATTTCTTATTAAACTAGCCTATTACTTGCACTAACATACCAATATAGTCTAGTTACAAGTGTTCATGCATTGAAAACGAACCTATAAGAAGCATTTCACTAAGTTTTGGGACGATATTCGTGATTTTACCAACATAGCCTAGTTACTGAATTTAAATTTTAGCGAAATTAAATTAATGAATTTATTACCGCAATCTCCTTGGACTTTTTGTTTGCCGGAACCTTTCCTTTTCCGGGCACATCCTTGAAGTGCGTTTTCAGGAACAGATCAGCAGCGGATGGCAGTTTCCCTTGGTTTTCCGCCGCCTTTGCACATAAACACAAATAAATCACATTAATATGTAAACTTAATTACTGCAAAACCTAAAACAACAATTCTCATATACTGACCATCCGTTTTGCATGCTGTACGGATGATACGGAACCCTGGAAGTGGGTTGCCTCCACTTCATTCTCCATGGAACCGCTTCTTCGGTTCAGCTTGTTCTGTGTGGACCGCTTCTTGTACGTGCCATCAGAATCAAGAATCTCCATCATCTTCTTGTGCGCTTCCTCTGACACCCAATACGGTCTCACACCTTTCATCTTCTTCGTGACAGTGTAAAACATGTCACGAAGGCGGGTAGCGACCCGAGCTTTGAATGCCGATCGTACATGACTGTCTAGCTCCGGTGACCACGTAAAATGTTGCTGCAAAATCAAAACTCGTAAAACGTAACAACAAAATATTTTTCAAATAAAATAATACACAATTGTATTGGTAGATACCCTGAACAAGTTCCACCAATGACTTTTCGTGGCATCGTCAACCTCTCCATAGTTCCTCCAAGGCGTCATATAGTGCCCCTGGATCGAACCAGATACGGCTTTCTTCACTATTTGGTCATCAAACCTGTTTCAGAACAACAAAAAGGACGCCAATAGCTTTTGATAATTAGAAATATGAATCACGAAATGCATATAACATATGATCTAATATTCTTACCACAGCGTGGTCGGGTCTAGGCGTGGCACTAGATCCCCTCGTGCGTGCTCCGACTGCCCTGAGCTCCGGGGCTGTGACAGATCCTCATGCTGATTAGCAAATCTGGTACCTGAGTGTCACCTAGACCCTGAACAGTCTCAGAGTTATCCTTAACGGTCTCGGGGGCCTGCTGACTGTCTGACACATGGTATGAGGGGTAAGGTTGAGATCTTCGCGTCTTCCTCCCCGAGCTATCTCCCTTTCTTCCTCCAGCCATGCTTCCCTACAAAATAGTTCAAGGGCATAACATACAGACATAAATAGGTTAACAGTTACATTCCTCATATCAATCAATACAGCTATTCATTACAATCATTTATTATAATCAATAATACTTTTCATTACAATCACTAAAGCTACTCATTACTATCACTACTGCTACAATGATCACTATTGTTATCATCAGTACTATCATAAAAAACAACAATGTCGTCCTCATCCTCGTCACTGCCCTCTTCATTGTCACTTGAACCGACGCTAGATTCGTCTTCAGAAGCAGACACAATACATCGTCCTCACCCTCAGAGACAACAAATGCATGACCATCGTCACCATAGTCTGGGATATCAGTTGGTGGGCAGAGTGTACTGCATTCTCGTGTTTGTGTTCCTTGCAAGAACTCCGGGTCAACAGGAGCATCCACAACGGACCTTGCCTGCGTTTACAACACAACCCACCATTAAAACCGATCCCGTTTGAGGCTTGGATATGGTGCATAATATGCCTGACCAACTTGATAAGACAGCACAAATGGGTCATATTTGGGGTATTTCTTAGTATGATTCACGTCAACAAGCTTGTATTGTT